CATCAAAGTTGTGGAGTTGTAAAGTATTTTGTCTCGTGTCAATTATATATTATATATAGCAAATTTTCAAATGTATATCGTGATAAATATTTTTGGTCATATCGCTCTGCTCTTGCACGGATTCATTTGAATTCTCGGGGAGCAATCCCACAAACAGATGAACAAAAAATGAAACAGTGCTGCCCCTCACCCTCCTAGTAGATGTAAGTATGGTACGAATCCTTCGTCACCTCGGTCTCAATGCAGTCACGTTTTCAGAAAACCTCTGATTTTGACCTGAGGTCACGGTCAGTGGGATTCAAACTCAATCAAGATTTTCCGCAGATGCACCTTTGGTATGAAAGTCCGACATTAGGTTCTTGTCGAGTTGTTGCATTCACAAGACTTTCAGAAAAAATGGATTTGTCTGTGACCTTTGGGCTGTTGCATCTTTGGTATCACTGTGTCTTGTTGCTATGGGACAAGCTGTATGGGACAATGCAACGCACGCACATTGCCGTTCTTGCACAGTTGACGGTTCATCTGCACAATGCACAGTTTCAGATTATAGAGATTTGTGGTGGTAACTTCCTCTGTGGAAACATGAGGCAGTTCAGTGTAGTACTCTGCCTGTGTTTGACTTTAAATAGCCAAAATCTCCACAAATCCTTCAGACGTGTGTTTAACAGTGTTCTTTTCAGCAGTTAGCTTTGGGCTGTCCTATTTCGTAAGACGTTTGTTTTCATCTTCTCTTGTATCTCACACACACACTCCTAATGTACTGGTGTGTGTGGCTGACTCTCATTGTTATTGGCCTTTTGTGCCATCTGTGAAAACATTCACCGACTTCAATCAACACTTTGTCACCAACAAACAACAATTTAAACATTTTATCGCCCAGTTTATAACAAACCAATCGACACATAAGAAAAACCCTGTGTTGGCCGGTGTTGAACAAACTGAGAGTACGTTCAGCTGTGATCAAACTCACCTTAGTTCTCGGCATGCCAGGTTTCACCTCTGCTTCTGCTGAGTGTGTGGGACTGTGCTCTATCTCTGAATCTTTGCTTGAATTAATTTCCTAAGGAAGCAGACAAAGTCAGTCACAAAAAAACAAAGTTGTGAAACCAGGAAACCTTTCTATGCAACTACTCAACAGAAATGAAACTGTGATGACGCTGACCCAACCACAAGGGACAAACAGCATTTGTAAAACGGGGAGATTTACACCAACTTACAGAAGCAGCATCCTCCTGGTAGGAGGAGGAGAAGCTGTAGGTGGGGGCTTCCTCGTTATGGTAGGAAGTGAGGTAGGGCTGTGACTGGGAGAAATAAGCGCTGTCCTGGGAGGGAGGGGAGTCTGAGAGCT